TCTCCGACACCAGCACCTTCATCTGCCACCTGATCTTCCACCTCATCCGCATCTTCCTCCTTTTCTGGAGGGCGACCCACATTGGGATCCAACATTGGAAACTGATACACACCAATAACAGCGTGTCGTGGCTTCTGCTGGTGAGCATCCTTTGAACACTTGTATGGACCCGCCAAGTCCAATGATAAAGTGTAAGCATCCCCATGCTTCCGCCTCAAATGGCGACGCTCTTTTCCAGCGGCAGACACACAAATTTGACAATCACGTCTGAAAGGAATATGCCCCCTTAGGCAATGGTCACGGAAAGCTCGCTCCTCAGCTGTTAACCTCCGTAACGTTCCCTCTCGTTCTTCCTTTTTTGACACCATAGTTTCCCGTTCAGCATCGCTCTCCTGCAACCATTGTGCCAACCTGTGATGTATTCTTTTTACCAATCCAAACGCCCATCGCGCCCATATGGAGGATTGTCCAATACGCTCTTCCAGGGTAGAAGCGAATGTTGCTGACCACGGAACAACCACGCGAACCTGTTCCAACGATTCCCATAGTTCCATATCAGACACCAGGAAAGTCGTAGGCTTCACCAGAGCATGTCCCAATGCTCCTTGATCAAAATGTGCAGCGTGCATTTCATAACGCTCGCAAAACCTTTTTACCTCTGGCCAACTCCAGAAGGTAGGACTTGAGAACCCTTTCTGAGATCCATCCACCAGATCCTCAGCACTCAAGACCGTTTTGCCGTTCTGAGAGAAATCTTTCCCTATGAGTTCAGGGTCCCCAGGACTTTCCATGCCAAAGAAGACAGAACCTCCATTGATGACTTCAGCAGTTCCACACCTTGAATGCACCGCCACGTCATATAGGAAAAGCATCTTCAGAAGTAAAACACCATCCTTTTGAGCTAATTCTTGATGTGGCCAAGGAAGACTTTTTAATCCCAACCGTTCAGGCCCACAGCGCCGGCGTAATACAGGTGGACCACCGTCTTCACCTCTCAACCTTGACACTGTCCTGCATGGAGGTCCTCCAACCACAGCAACCACCTTTCCTTCAGCCGCCAGATGCAGAAGATACTTCCAGACGCTCGAATTATGTAGGTCCCGGCCTTTCTTCAAATCCAGCTCCAGTACCTCCACATCCCGACTGGGAAAATGCCATTTTTGTTTTCCTGAATATAGGTGTACCACCACCCTTTTTGCTCGTGCCAGCCGTCTCCTTTTATGACGGTTGAAAGGCAACGCCGCAATATCTCCACGTGGCAACAGCTCCATCAGCATATTTTCTGGTATATCCCCATAATACCACCGAAGAAATCGCCAACATGCCTGGACGAACTCCTCCTCGTTCGCTGACGCTGTCCGCGCTGCGCTTTGCAACGACGCTTTTACGGCCACCTCATTGTCCGTATTCGGACACCCTTGAACCATACGTGCCACCTTCAATGCTTGCTTTGGTGAACACCAATCCATTTCATCAATGATCTGAAGCGCCACCTCCTTTTCCAAACAAGGGCACCCATTCAGATCTCGAACGCGAAGTTCCCCCAGAACAGGATGTGAGGCTGTGCACTTGCCACCACGCCACTGAACTCTGAGACCAACCAAGGCGCTCGCTTTGCCAATTGGCACTAGTGGATCTACCATTTCAGGAGTTACCAGGGTCCCACCTGGGGTAATACACATCTCCCGAGATCCAACAGCTAAAGACACCAACACCTTTTGCTGCGGAAGCTGTTCACCAGGACGAAGTGATCTGAGAGGATGTGATGCTCCCGAGTCCAACATGCCCATTCCCGAACACTCATTGGTGTCAGAAACCCTGGCCACATGTAGAACGCATACTCCTCGGCCTTCTCCCTGCTTCGGCAACAACGTGGCATCAGACGAACCGACTCCACAGTCCGCCCTTCCATTCCTCCATTGAGAATGGGACCAAGACGCACGCTGCCTTTCAGCATGCAAAACCATCTTTTCAGCTGTTTTGTAATCCATAACCAAACAGCCATGTTCAAACCACAAGAGCTGGTCCAGCGAAGATTTTGCACTCACGTGACACATCCCATTGATCACGGTGAGGTTCGCCCCAAACTCCAAAATCAACCAGAGAGGGATAATCAGAGGCCCATTGTCTTCCCTGATCAATGTCCCTTTCTCTGTAACCCTCATTGTCACACCACCAAGCGCGCTTTGCACCATAACAGTAGTGTCGGGTAAACATTCCCATGGAAAAAGCGTCCGCACAAGATGCGTAGCAGCTGTATCCACCAACGCCACTCTCTCTTCCTGCTGAAACAACCCAGAGCCACATAACATTCGAACACTGGGATCCCCGCTTGATGCTGACTGCGCTGATGACAGTTTCATAGATTTCAGCACCTCTAATGCTTCAGCAAGGACCTGATTGGGTGTTGATGGTGATGAGGGACTTGCAGAACCTTTCTCCAATCCCGCATTAGCCGTCTCATCTCCCCCTTCAGCCACTTCTGCCTTTTTGGCATTTCCCCGCCGCCCTTTCCCCCTTTGGGAGAATTCCCTTTAGATCTATTCCTTTCGGGATTTGAGTCCACATTGGAACTTGCACCATCTTTGTATGGACACTGCGGCTGTAGATGGCCAACGGCCCCACATTCAAAACATCTTCCACGCTCCAGGAGTCCTTGTCATGGCGAAATTTGCAGCGTGATCCGAACTTGCAGCCTGCTTCTGTCTTCCCAAATATCCAACAGAATGGACGTTCACCATCACCGCTGTACCTTTTTCCTTTCCCTTTGCCTTTGTCACCCTCCTCTGTCTCGTCACCAGTTCCCTTTTGGGCCTTGTTTAACCTTGCCCTTTTCTTGGCGTCCGAGTCCTGCTTCACCTCTGGATCCCCAGCGCTATGCAATAGCAGTTCAAACTCTGCCTGTAACATTTCCGCTAGTTGTGTCGCAGTTTCAGAGGTCGGCGAGTAGTCCACCCCCAATTTCTCCCGAAAGGATGCCACTCTGAAATGCACCGTAGGGTGTTTTGCCAGCAACGCGGATGATAAAGCATCCAATCCCTTGATAAGCAAGGTGGCGTCCGGCTCGGATGCTCGCAGCTCCCTTAATCGGGAACGCCATTGCGCCCATTGACGCACTCCCTTAATAGCCTCTGAGATCGAGGTTGCTGAAGATGGTTGCACCAAGAAGTTCAACATTGTGCTTCGCTCGTTTGCTCCACCTGGTTGGTAGACTGTCAGCAACTTGTAAAATATCATCACCGACCCCAACATTCGAGTGGAAACGATCTCGGTCTTCAATCTCTCCGGAATCGCCTGTAGCAGCAAAGACACCGCTCTCTGCTCCAACAAAACATGCACAGTTCGAACCACCTTGAGCCCTTCCAGCTCAGCCTTGATGCCCAACCTTTCCAGCGGAGAGACACTCAACCATTTGGCATACGCCTGATACGCCTTTGTATAGACGGATTGCCACCACACTCTTCCTGTATCTGTCAATGAAGACAACATTGGCTCGATCATTGCGATCCAATCACCTAGTGCCGTCGGATTGCTTGGTGTGTAGTCTGCCAAAGTAGGAAGGCTCATCACATGCTTCCCAAGAGCCTCCGGACGTTCAGTTCCAGAACTATCACCAATGTTTGGCATACCGCGTGGCACCACTGCTCCAGGAGGTAAGCTGACCCTTCCACCAGGCCCTTGAGGCAGTCCATGTCCCATTCCAGGCGTAAAAGCTGTGAGCGGAACCTTTTCTAATTCCAACTTCCCAGCGATCATTTTCCACCGATATG